CGGTGAGGGAAGGAGAGAGCGGCTCGCCTCGCCGTGCCGCCCGCCTCGCCGCCGCCATGCTGCCCGGGGTGGGGGTGTTCGGCACCGGGCTGACGGCGCGGGTGATCGTGCCGCTGCTGAAGGCGGAGGGCTTCGCCGTGAAGGCGCTGTGGGGCCGCACGCCCGAGGAGGCGGAGGAGCTGGCCAAGGAGATGAGCGTCCCCTTCTACACCAGCCGCATCGACGAGGTGCTGCTGCACCAGGACGTCGACCTGGTCTGCGTCAACCTGCCGCCGCCGCTCACCCGGCAGGTCGCCGTCAAGACCCTGGGTAAGTGCGGGGGGACCGGAGGGGCGACCTCGCCTCGGGCTCGGGATTCACGCTCGCCTCGGGCTGAATGGAATTGCGCCCCACCTCAGCGCGGAGTTCTCCCTTCGCTTTGCTCTCCCCTCCCTTCTTCCTTCCCCGCGTCTCCGGAGAGGGGCAGGCCGAGGACCGGCGGGGCGCGGGGGATGGCGCTGCGGCGGCTCGGTGTGACATCCCGCATCCCCGGTCCCCGCCGGCGTGATCCCTAGCAGCGGGCACCCGCCCCTCCGGGATGCTCGGGCAAGCCAGGGCAGGGCCGGGCCTGACACCCAGGGCGGCGGGAGGAGGGAGCAGGTGTCACCCGTGTCGTGGAGAAAGTCGCGGTAAAAAAAGGGAGAAAATAATCATCCCGCCCGCGTTTGGCCGGCGTTTTCCATCCGCGGCTGGCAGGGGAGCGGGGAGCCGAGCATCGCTCCCGCCGTGGGGACACCCGCGCTGCTAGGGGGATCGGGAGTGCCGGCGCTGCCCCCGGCCCCGGGACCCCAGCTGTGGGAACCAGGGGGGGAGGCAGGAAGCGGTGACAGCAGAGGAAACGCTGTTACAGCCGAGGCTTAACGAAGCTCACGTACAAAGGGAAGGAGGGACTGAAAAAGTAGGCATGCACCGTGGTGAGCGTCTCTGGTTTCAGGCGTGCCAAAGCGGGCCGCATCTCGCTTTCTCTTGTGTGGGCGAAAGTCCGGGCTTTACTCGTCGAGCTTCGTGATCCATGCTCCTCGGACACTGGGTCTCCGATGGGTTTTAGTGGAGGCACCCTCCGGAGTAAAGAAGTCTTAATTTGTCCCTAGAAATATAGGTGGGAAAGGGTGAGAATGAGAGGAAAATGCTGCGAGTGGTCGTCGCTGCAGAGTGTGGAGGTTAACGAGCCAGGGTGGCTGCTTTGGCTCTGGGGCTGCAGCTATGTAGGCTGATTGCTATCGCTTTCGGCCTCATAAATGTGTGTGGCGTGTCGTAGTGTTGCATTGCTACTAGCATACTCATTAGAATTAGTCACCATTCAAATGCTGCTAATATCGCAGCCAGCTAGTGTTTTCAACCTTTAAAATTAAGCAATTAAGGAAATAAGGCAGTGCCTTAAAGAAAAAATCCTGCCTCAAGTACAGTGGAGGCATTTGTCTGGAAGCTTTGCTCAGTGTTACTTTCTGCACTCGGAAAGGCTTGTCTTTGAGTCAGAACATTTGCTTTTCTCTTGTATTGTACTTTAGACTTTTTCCTGAAGACACAGCGCTTGAATCAGAAGCCTGACTTGCTTGCAAGAATGATGTGCAGATGAATTTGTAGTGTAGAAATACATATATCACAAAACTTACGTAAAGGACAGTATCAAGGTAACAAGGTTTCATGTTTGACACACATTAATTTGGTGACAATTGTGTCAGTTTTCCTGTGACACTCTTTCCTGCAGGTGTTGCTCGTGGAAGTGACCCAGCTTGCCTGTGCTCTCAGAGGTAGAGTCCCATGAGGTTTCAGGCAGAACAAAAGCATATGGTAGAACAAAATTTCTGAAATAATAAAGAAATACAATTGGTATGCTCTTTCTCAGAGGGCCAGACACACATGGCTGGCATAATAAAGTAATAATATGTTTTGTCCTCCTCTGAATATTTGCAGCTAAAGAAGAAAAAAAAAAAATCTGTTCCCAAGCATGAGCTGCATTTATGAATGATTTTATGAATCAATGTAGCTGAGATGTTACTGATAACTCACTGATGTAATTTGCTAGCAACAGACTGGAGCAGGAAAAAAGGTATGTTCTCACTGTTTATTAGAACAGCACCATTCTCAGTTCCCTTTAACTTCTAGTCAATAGAAGTTTTCTCTCCTCCCTCAGTGGTCATTATTTTTGTCTTGCAAGAATAACAAAGTTTGTGTAAAAATGCATGGTGTGGTCATTAAACAGGGATTGAACAGGTTACAAGGTGATAATGTGCAATGTGATAATTTTTTTTAGTGTATTACTTAAAGGATTAATTATGGAAATATATCTTGGACAATAAATAACTCTTCTCCCAGTTATTTCAGAGGTAATTTTTTTTTAATATATGTATTTATATCTGTAACTTAGTAAGTTCTTGCATAGAGGTGCAAGAGGGAGCTAGAGCAGTGGTTCCCAAACTATTGAGAGGAATATCTCCCTGCTAGCAGCTCCATCTCCTGATCTTTGGTTCATGGCTTGGGAACTGCTGTGCCCTGAAGTGTTTATTTTGCTTAATTTTTTGTTTTGAGGGAGGGGGTGCAATTTGTCAAGGTTCAGAAGCCTCTGGTAAGCAGGGGCAATGTTGTATAGAGTGAGGAAAGTGGAAGATGGAAAAGCATTACTTTCTCTTGCAATTTCACATAAGAAATATCATGTAGCAGCTAGTGATAGAACATAAACGGTGATTCCAGAGGTTTTACCCATAGATGGAGGCTTCAGGAGGTCTACACATGATGCCCTGCATTGCAGTAGAAGAGGTTGAGGAAGACGTGAGTTACTTGTTAATTCACGCAGGTCTGGCTTCCCTATGACAGGATGCATATCTGGCCTGGGAAGAGACAGGGACCAACTTGTCTTTTGTACCTGTGTGTTATTTTAAATTGTCTTGTTGCCCAAAGCTGTGCGCTCGTTTGGTGAGGTTTCAATTCCTAATAGGTAAAAGCCTGAGGAAGCAGTTGGTGGTGTTTCCATCACCCATCTAGAGCTGTGTTTACACTGTGAATTTGTAGCATGTTAAGTCCACTCTGGCCTAATTTCTGATGCGGACTCTGGAGGTAAAGGTGGTGTGAAACAGGTGTCCCTGCAGCTGTGTTTAACTTGGGCCACTCAGTGGGAAGGACTTGGTTGTTTTGTTTTCACTGATACGCCTGACATGTAGGTGTATTGCTGCTTGAAATGTGCTTTTGGCAAGGTGGCCCATCAACTGCTGTTGAAACAGATGTGTGAATCCATGCCCCAGCTGAGGAAGTCCCCAAACTGTGGCTTCCTGGCAGCTGTTGAGGGGAGAAAATGGGAGAAATAAAGCTTTAAGCTTGCCCTGTTTACTTTTCCTCTAAGCCCCTGCTGGTCATGTCTGTTAGAAACAGGTTCCTGAGCTGGGTCTGACTCTGTATAGTAGCTTTGGTAGGAATGAGACCAGTGTTGGGCAAGTCTCTGGAACAGACTGAGTTCAGGAGAGAGCTGGAAACCAGGCTGGTTTGAACAATGACCAAAAGCACAAATAAAACCAATGGCAATTTATGTGAAATATGAACATGGCTTCTATCACTTCTGTATGAAAGGAATCCAATTCCTTTTTTGTGTGTACAAAATGGCTCTGATTGACCCTTTCCCTTTCCTACCTCTGGTCTGTCCTGCTCACTTAGGAGCTCTTTTTTTTTTTTATTGCTTCGTATTTGTTCCCTATAGAATAATACAAAACTCATGTCCTGACTGACTTGCTGTTTGGTGATCAAGAAAGATCAATGGCTGAATGTTTAGGTAAGCATAGAGAACATGCCTACTGTTGAATATGGGTGTTTATCTTCTCACTGAACTGAAAAATTTGCCATGTTTGCTAGAAGTGGTCCCCTTTACCCCTGCCCATGTGCATTGGCAGTTCAGTCGTATCCCAAGCCAGATCAGACATGGGAGATGTGTTTGCACGCAGGGACAAAGTATGTCACCAGAGTGGCTACTTGTGCTCAGCGTCAGAAGGGTTGCTATGATATGACCCTCCATCTAGTTCAAAACTGTCAACGCATGACTTTTCCCGGTGTAATCCCTCCCCCTTAGTCAATTAAATATGACATTCTTCAGATCCTGACTGAAACTGTTGCCCTGTGTGACTACACAGCTGCCGCATCAGGTGGAGTGATTTACTGCATGTGGTGCTGAGAAGGCCTTGGTGGCATTTCATCTTGATGTTGAAGGCACAGATATTTCTATGCGTCTGGTCCTGTTGGTGCTTGGGTCAGATCAACTTGGCTCAAGAGAACTTATTCCTGAGGTTCACAGAAGTGTTTCTGGGGAAGTGCTTTTGGGAAGAGTCAAGTACCAGATGTTTTCAAAGCATATCTCCGGAGATGTTACCCTTAATTCTGTTTACAGTGGTTTTACTTACTCTTTCATCCTAAGTTAAGGACAGGAACACTGAGCTGTGTGCTGAATATTCACTGCATGTGTTTGCAGCCATGTCTAGGTAATACTACTTTTTAAAATGTTTATATTGTAGTAGTGCATGGTAGGAATCTGTTCTGCCTGGGGACTATACAGAGTATGACTTTCACAGCCCTCCAGGAGTTGCTCCTCTTACGGAGCACTTAAATTTTTATGCTGATTGGTGTTTTTTCTATACTTGATCATGGTCATGAGGGAGCATCTTTATTTAGAGAGGAACATAAATAGTACTGCTCAGATGCTTACCTTCCCGCCCCTTCCCAGGAAGCACTGGCAACACGCAGGCATGCATTATAGGCCTGCTGTCCAGAATGTGAGAACTTCTTGTTAAAGCACTGGCAATATTATTGCTGGATCTACCCCTCAAGTGGGAAGAACATCAAGCTGCAGTGAAGTAATTCACAGATCTGATGCAGTCTCTAATTAATTTCTAGATACCTCTGCTCCCATGCAAATCAGGCAGAGGTTAGGGTTGTAGCAGTAGATAAAACTTGCTCCAGAGTTTGTAAAGCAATAGAATTCTTTGGGAAGAGATGCTCTATTAAAGGAAAACATTATCATGATTATTTATTATTAATAACAGTGTAATTTCTGTCCTGTAATATTGAGTTTAAATTTGACCTAACAGCAGCGACTTTCAGCAGAACGCGCTCCTTCACTTGCAAGGCAGATGACTTTGCAGCATATTAAATGTGAATTATGGTCATCTTATTGTGAAAGAAGTCAGATGAAGTGCTGTCTGTCTTTAATCAGCAGAGCTAGCAAAGGTTATGATGACTTCTTTTTTACATATATTAGAAAGTCAGTCCAAAGACCCTGCTGGCAATCAGCT